CTGAATGGATCCGTGTACTGTAGTAGATATATGCAGTCAGCAGGCGGTTGGTTTAGGGTTTTTTTGGCATCTCCATGTGGTCCTGTTCGGTATGGCAACTTGGCTTTTCTAAAATGTAAAAAAGCTCTTTGCTGTTGCACTGTACACATACTATACACTTCTGAATTTTTTCTTTCAAATGTGCTTATATGGGCTCCTTATATCATTTGGTTCTTTGGTGTCCTTTTGGAGTTTCTAAGTGTTCTTTTTTGGAAAGACATCTAAATTTATCTTGAAAAAAGCTTGCAGAAAATACAGATTTTTGAGAATCACCCTTCAATCTTTTGGTTTACTTTGCTGGATATAGCAAATAATGACAAAATAAACCTTAAACCTTTAAAAATGCTTAATTTCACGAAGTGTGCGATTAATCACAGAAAAAAGGTGTGATTAATTAGGTGTGAAAATTTTAATCTATTGACAGCCCTAATATATATATATATATAGAGAGAGAGAGAGAGGGAGGGAGAGGGAGAGAGAGAGAAACATGACATAATAATTCAATCGCAATTTTAGTTCTGTGAACTACTTTTATGAAACGTTTTGGAGTTGGACAGCTCTTATACCATCCATTTTAATGAATAATATAATAATCACAATTTCCCACTGAATGAACACAGCACTTCAAGAGTAGTTTTTGACAGATGACATTTAATTCATTTGACATCTGACATTCAAATCACTATTGGGTCGCCATTGTGTTGACAACCAAACCTCCAGAGTAAATCTCAGACGTCATCGATACAGAAAGCCAAAGCGTGGCTGGAGAACTAAGAGCATTAAACAACAGCTTACAAAAGCGTTCAAGTCAGTCTTCATATGTTTATTTGACCGAGCACAATGCCATGGGACAGTCTGACATGTAAACTAGCACATTTAGTGGAGGTGTGGGAGAAGCACTGCTCTACAGAGATGAGCACAGGCATGAGTTATTCTCCTCTCACGGCTCCATACAGTAGATTAAATATATATACACAACAGTATCTAGTGTGTTTATCTGAATGCTACACAGACCCAACAGACATGAGAGAACAGCGGCGAGAAAGAGGTTCATGGAGTGACAGCAACACAGAACGAGTGTGAGGAGAGAGATGTGTGACACAGAGCTGCTGTACTGTTAGCATCTACACACAGAGAGTCAATATGTGATATTAGCAGAGAGATGATTTCACACTTTGGTCACCAAATTATTAAACGGTGGCCACACTAACGCCAAACATGAGCTCACTTAAGGTCATGGTGATTCCAGTTGGGTGAAAGAAAAAAAACATTCAGGGTCATAGTTCAACCTCAAAAAAAAAAAAAAAAAAAAAATGAAAAAAAAAATTATTTTTTTTTAAATAAATTCGTTTTTAAAATAAAATAATTAAATTAAATTAAATTAAATAAGAAATAAAATATTGAATACTGTCACGCTCAGGTCGAGACAAGGCACACGAAGATGAAGATAATCTTAATAATATAATTAATAGTAATCCACGATGATGTAGACTGGGTGACAAAAAAAAAAAAAAAAGATGAAATAAGAAATTATATATTTTTAAATAAATTCGATTTTAAACACTTTTTTGGAATTATTTTCATAACTTTTTCCCCCATTTTCTCCTCAAATGTTAATTGCTTACTGTAACGGGTCGGGATATTTTAGGCAATTCTAGAATAGAATAGAATAGACTTTATTGTATTTGTCTTGGACACCATGGCCCTGCCAGTAAACAACTTACATCTCACGCAACACAGTACATAACATACTGTAAATTAGAATATAACAACACTCCAAAAATAATAAAAGCTTGCCACATCTAATCTGAGTTTTGAGATTTTCTATTTAAAATTTTGACTGCAGTTGGCACAAAATAATTTTTATAACGATTAGATTTATTTCGCATTCTAGATTAGATTAGATTAATTCTCATTATCAGTGGTGATAGTTATACAGTACCAATACAGTATCCATAATAAATATACTACTATTATTATCTAATAAATACAATTGTATATATTAGGGATGGAATCATTAACGGTTTGACGATAAACCATGATAAAATTCCCCACGGTTAATATTACCGTTTCATATTGTAATTATCACTAAAACCGTTTTCGATTACCACGATTTGAATAACTCATGATAAATAAATACTATCCTGCATAAAGCACAGTTTTAAGTAACAGTCTCAGAGTAGTTCCGTTTTGTGTGAAAACATGGCGGAAAGCTGGGAGGTTGTAAAAGAGTGCTAAGGGAATTATATATATATATATATGAGTTAATTATATGAATGTACCTCTGAAGGTTCTGACAATCTTCAGAAAAGATTCGATGGCATTTTGTTTTCATCTTCGCTCCTTGTAATACCTAATAAAGTAGTGTTTTAATCGCAATGCTGCTTTGTCCACGGAGGTTACGAGAATCAGCTGTAATTCTGCTGCTCCATAAGCGCCACCTAGTATCAGAGAGTGGATTTACAGAGACATTTGCCATTTTATTGGTTGTTTGTTGATTTTAAATATAAAACTTGGTGAAACAATTTATGTGTCAATACTTTTTGAACATTTCCATTTTAAGAGTACCGTAATAAAACTGATAACCATGATAATTTAGGTCACTATAATTGTGATTTCAAAATGTCATACCATTACATCTCTACTATACATTCAATGAGCATAAATCAAAACATGTTTTAATGTATTCTTAATAAAAATTAATGCAGCCTTGAAGTATTTTTTCCAAAAAACCATCAAAAGCAAAAAAAAAGCAATTCTTCTAAACTTTTGAGTAATAATATAGGATAATTTTGCCATTTTTTCCATTTTTATATTTTTTCTCGGAATTCATTCACTCTCTCTCTCTCCTCCATGGAATACAGGAGTTATTTAGCAGAAATAATTTGCCAAAAAAGGGTTAATTTGGTATGTGTTGCCATTTAATTTTTTAGGCAGACAGACAGATTAAGAATTGTGGGGGGAAATGCGCACAATTGGCATAATGCAAAAAAAAAACAAAAAACGTATGAATGTATTTTTAATATATTTAAATAGCCTTCATGCAAAATTACTTTTGTAATATTTTGAGGTGAACTATGACCTGGATATGTTATAGTGAGATTGACCCAGTTAGTCCTTAGACTCTCTAGTGCTCCATAATGCCCCATGAACCAGAAAACTGAAGCCAGCTACAGGAGATCCGGTTCCTCTTCCTCAAACGTCCTACAGAACTCTACGTCAACATGACTGTTTCCACCGCCATCTTCTTGATTGCTAGAATCAACCCAGCTGACATGGTTATTGTAAGGACAAAGAGCTTTATTTAGCATGTGACGTTGACTTTGCCTAATTGTGGGGCATCACTAAAGACACAATGAACTCTGGGAAACGTCCAAAGGAACCACAGTGAGAAGATTCCGATTTGAGTAGATTCTGTCGGGATGTGTGTGGAGGATGTCAACTGGATTTTAATCAGTGGGGTCAAAGTGCAAATGTCTTTGGCAGCTGCGGTACCATGGTAACACTGCAGTTGAGTTGGCATTGAAGGAGTCTTCAGTTACTGACGGCCTCGTCGATCGCATCGGCCACATCTGCAGCGCCATCCAGACTTCCTCTGGCACGCCAGATCTTCACTGTGCGGTCACTGCAGGGTGAAGCCAGATGAGCGTCAGAGTGACCATGTGTAACGGAATTGTAAAGAATGTAATAATAGTTCTGATTCCACTTTTATGCAACAATCCTGGATCCTAGCAGTGTGCTTTAGTACTTTTGAGGAGGAAACCCCCTCCAAATAATGAATCCTAACTGTATACAAAACAAGTACATATATTAAACTAAAACATTAAGCATAATATTTTTTGTAACAGTTTTTGATTTATTTATTTAAAAAATACATAAATCATTTATTGAGCACCATTGATTACAACAAATCTTACACATTTAATATAAATCTTTAAGTAATAGTCAGTAATAACACTGTCAGACCAACCAATTCATGAGTCTTGGTGAGCAATTAATTAAAAATAACTCTTTTTTTTTTTTATTGAATCAGTGGTCATGCTGTATTGTTGTAGTTTCTGTCCACATCAGTGTTGTCTTAGTATCATTAAGATACTATAGTTTGCATTAATACTTTGAATTAGTTTTTAGTTTTATATTTTCTGTTTTAATTTCAGTTAACGTTTTAGAAAATTTGGTTGTGTGTTTTGGTAAGTTTTATTATTATTATTATTATTATTATTATTAAATATGTCTATATAGTTTGAATTAATTTTCATTTCAGCTTCAGTTTGTTATTTTTGTTAAAGGGCACCTATTATGCAAAATCCACTTTTACATGGTGTTTGGACATAAATGTGTGTTGGCAGTGTGTGAACACAACCACCCTACAATGATAAAAATCCACCCATTCCTCATTTTTTAATCCCCTTTAAACCAAGTCAGTCTCACTAGGCCTGCCGTTTTGATTCTCTCGCAGTGTGACGTCATATTGTTTAGGCCCCGCCCACAGCGGCTGATTGACAGCTCTGCATTACTATAGTTTCCGCCCTCAGCGGTTGTACGCTGTCCTCCATTTTCTCCGCGCTCGAGCGGCTGTGACGTCAACAATGTCTCACAAGCAATCCCGATGCTCTGTGTTTGGATGTAAGACTGAACATAAGAGTCTTCATTTTCTCCCAACATCTGAGGTTGCTGAGGACGATGTGGATTACTTTCATTTTTCAAGGCAATGCGCCCCAAAATCTACCTAAATACGTGTATCACTCCAGACTCCTTTGTGAATGTCATGTTGTTATAGTGCTTAGCGTTTTAACCGTATTTGTGTGCGTACATTAAGTCTTTTTTAACTGATCAGCTTGTGAGATTAGTTTGCGTCATTCGTAGCGCGAGATTCGTTTGGCAGGTCAGCGCGGCTCGAGCATTTGGCTTCCCATATGTACGGCTAAACACCAGTTCTCTCGCTCTCAGTTATGTTGCTTCTACCGGCTGTTTACTGCTGTAGATATGCAATGCAGAGAGACGTATACACGACGCCCTCTTCTGGAGACGGGGCGGGAATATGCAGCTCATTTGCATTTAAAGCGACACACTCCAAAACAGCTCTTTTTTAGACACACCCCAAAAATAACATTTTCCAGCTGTTATAATAAATGATCTGTTGGGTATTTTGGGCTGAAACTTAACAGACACATTCTGGGGACACCCAAAACCAAAATTACATCTTGTAGAAAAATGTCTAATGTCTATAAAATGTCTATCATTGTTTATTACCATATATGTCGGTGCATATAAATGAAATGAAATCTTTGTGTTAATATATTGGAAAATATATGGAAAGCTAGGTTATTTTTACTAGACTTTTAATTAGGGATGCACCGATACCACTTTTTCCAGTACTCGCCCGATACCGATACTTTTATTTTTGGTACTTGTCGATATCGAGTACCGATACCGATGTATTTTACTTTGAATATGCTTTGCAACAATAGCTGTTGAAATGAGGGTTCTCTGATTTCAGAGCAAATGACCCAGTTCAGCTCCAGTATGCACTATTTAGTTCTGAATTAGAACCAGTTCTTGATTCCCAGCCACAGTTTGATGTGTGTGTGTGTAACACTCACTCTGATGCAGTAAACAGATGGCTGCTGTTGGTTGAGATGCTGTTGATGGGGCTCTCGTGGCCTCTGAGTTCTCCCATCGGACTCAGTGTGTCCGTGTGCCAGAGTTTGAGAACTCCTCCTCTACAGCCGCTCAAAAGCATGGGAGACGCCGGCACGACACCCAGAGCACACACCCAGTCACGATGAGCGTTGGGTACCAGCTGTAGGACAAGCAACATGTCAACTCATCAAATCCTGGACAAACACAGTTTGAGCCCTGATTGATTGACTTCATGATGAGGTAATTAGCCTCTTCCTGATCTCATCCTCAGCACTGATTAATCAACTGATTGGCTAATTGTCCTTGTGGAAGCTACTACACTTGCATTATAATGTTGCTAGAGTGGCTCTAAGAAGTATTTGGACACTTAAGCCACACTTTAGAATAAATGTGAATTTAATTTGTGTGTGTGTGTGTGTGTGTGTGTGTGTGTGTGTGTGCTAGGGGTGTAACGGTACACGTATTCGTACCGAAAATTTTCGGTACGGGTCTTTCGGTTCGGTACGCAGGTGAGTGTAAGCATTCCTTCCTCTTTCCTACTAGTTTTAATGTGAAATAAACATGAATTAACATCTCATGCCTCATGTAATCGCTCAATCAGTGTTTCACTTGCAGAAAGATGTGATTAAAACGATTGGTAAACAAAATGTCACTTAGCATTTCATTTACCTCAGACAAGTCATCAGTGTCTACAGCTCGTCAGTTCACCAGAGAAATTAAGTCTAGAGAAGATTTCACAAAATATAAGACTATATACTTATTATATTTTACTTTACCTGTTAGTGATGTCTTAATTACTTAATGTAGGCTATATTTAAATAAATCGTTTATAAAACAAGTTATGACAGCCACTGTGTAAATGATTATATTTCAACAGCAAATAGAAATGTTTTTTCAAACATAAAAGCCAAAATTGACAGAAGTCAACCTTGAGATACGAAATTGACAAAATCATAATTATGAGATAAAAAATTTAGATTTTTTTGTACTTGGCAGAAATGGCCTATCATCTATATCCGCATCGCGGATAAAACTCAACTGTTTAACTCTAGGGGAGTTGGAAAAGCAGCCTATTTTCAAAAATAGTGGAGTGTTCCTTTAAGGAGTTGCAGAAACCCTGATGAGTAGGCATATAGTATACAAATCATGTAGCAGATCTAGACAGGTGGTGCTGGGGGAGGTGGAGGGTTTCAGACGAATCTCAAATGCATCCGCAGCAAAATCATCCAATTACATGAATTAACATCTCATGCCTCATGTAATCGCTCAATCAGTGTTTCACTTGCAGAAAGATGTGATTAAAACGATTGGTAAACAAAATGTCACTTAGCATTTCATTTACCTCAGACAAGTCATCAGTGTCTACAGCTCGTCAGTTCACCAGAGAAATTAAGTCTAGAGAAGATTTCACAAAATATAAGACTATATACTTATTATATTTTACTTTACCTGTTAGTGATGTCTTAATTACTTAATGTAGGCTATATTTAAATAAATCGTTTATAAAACAAGTTATGACAGCCACTGTGTAAATGATTATATTTCAACAGCAAATAGAAATGGTAGGCTATAATTTAATTTTAATTTGAGTGTTGATTATTATAGTTAAAAACAAATAGTAATTAAATTTAAGTTTGGGCTCTGTTGTTAATTGTAGCCTTATAGTAAAGAGCTCCCTATAGTTTAGTTTTTTATAGATTTTTTTTTATTTTATGAAGTAGATTTAAAGAAAATTTTAATTCTAATTGAATTTATTTAAAGAAAGAGCAATTTTTCAGTAAAACAGTACTGAAACCGTACCGAACCGTGACGTCAAAGCCGAGGTACATACCGAACTGTAATGTTTGTGTACCGTTACACCCCTAGTGTGTGCATTTTTTTTTTTCTTCTAGTTTTTTTTTTCAAACATAAAAGCCAAAATTGACAGAAGTCAACCTTGAGATACGAAATTGACAAAATCATAATTATGAGATAAAAAATTTAGATTTTTTTGTACTTGGCAGAAATGGCCTATCATCTATATCCGCATCGCGGATAAAACTCAAACAGTTGAGTTTTACCGTTTTCGAATCCATTCAGCCGATCTCCGGGATCTCTTTGGTCATTTTTAAGCGAGATGCTAATGGTCTAATCACATTCAATGATCTATGCTAAGCTACAGCTAAAAGTGCTACCGCCAGACCCGGAGATCGGCTGAATGGATTCGAAAACGGTAAAACTCAACTGTTTAACTCTAGGGGAGTTGGAAAAGCAGCCTATTTTCAAAAATAGTGGAGTGTTCCTTTAAGGAGTTGCAGAAACCCTGATGAGTAGGCATATAGTATACAAATCATGTAGCAGATCTAGACAGGTGGTGCTGGGGGAGGTGGAGGGTTTCAGACGAATCTCAAATGCATCCGCAGCAAAATCAGCCAATTAGCTTGTGCCATGTAGTAAATTATATGATTTATAATTCCAAGCAGATTGCATATACATATTTGGTGAGAAATATTTACTGTTTAATCATGTATTCATGTATACTTTTGTCAGTATAGGTGGCTATACCTGCTGTAGGTCCTTGCGGGTCAGGTTCCATTTCTTAATGCCGTTGTCTCTGGAGCCGCTAAACAGACAATCTCCCTGAACCACCAGGGACTCGATGCCATCGTAGTGGGGCGGTTCGAAGTTATGAGTGGGGCTGATACTACCTACAGCACCCTCTGTCACATCAAACATCTGCAGAAACAAATCACACATCTAATCACATCATATATATTGAGATTTCAAGTTATAGGGACCATATATGCTCAGTCTAAAGGCCACTGCAAACAGCATCAGTATATCATGTAACAGGAAGTGGACAGGTACATTTACTCATTCACTGCGCATCACATCAGTACACAAATGTGGCTCAAAATAAACTTTACATGCTTTTTGTTGTATAGAAAGCATCACACATAACATGTAAGGGCCACGTTGTGGCCATGAAATAAGAATTTGTTTCCACAAATTATTAGGGAAGTATTTAGTACAACATGGAAAAGATTGAACTAAAACAAGGCCACAAAAGGGCCTTTCGCACCGCAGGAACCTTTTCATAGTACCAGAACTAATTGTGGAACTACCCACTTTTTGGCGTTTTCGCACCGCCGGAACTGGGAGCGATTTTAGTACCGGACTGCCTTTTTCGCAGACCTAATAGATATGTTAGATAATCTGTTACAAAAAGTTAGAATGAAATGTAGATGGTTTTTATAAATGTGTATCCTAGCCTGTCCCAAGATTGTGACCTTCCAACAAATAACATCTTACAGCTTACTTTTGGCATAATCTGTTTAATGATCAGTGTATTCATTATAGTTACTAAGAGTAACTAAAAGTACTAAACAGTATTTAATTTTAGTAGTATGTCGTTTTCAAACTATATTAAGACATTTGGGGCCAGATTCACTAAACGGGGCAAATTAGTGTTAGAGTGCAATTCCATTAAAGCGCAGATGGGAGGGGAAAATTCTGCAGGTGATTTACTAACAATGCACACAATAAAGAACACAATAATGACAGCGCAATCTACCAAGAGTAGTGCAAATTGCCGCCTGCTTTAAGACATGCTTTTTTGGCCGTTAAATAATGGTGCAAATACCAGTAATTTGATGAGTGCAAACATTAGTAAATCGCGTTGCGTAATTCATTTTAATACTCTCCTCCCATAAATTTTGCATTTGAAAGGGAAACTCCAGCAAATGCATATTCAGTAAGGTCAGGTGCAAAAATAACTGTGTCCACGCCTTTTCAGCGCTAATTCTTTAAATCCTGACAGTACTACTTTAACGCCAAAAGACTGTCTGCTCTGGCGCAAGCAGTTAGTCAATCTGGCTCTTACACTCTAAAAAATGCTGGGTTAAATACAACCCAGTGCTGGGTAACCCAGCATTTTTTAGAGTGTAGAATTTTGGTAAGAGAGATGAAGATAATAATAACCTCAATAAAATAAACAAAAAATAAAAGAGCTCATAACTTGACTTCCTGAGAATGATAGTTAAAATGGTCTGAAGATTGAATTTCAGGCTCCATTTTGCACCCTAATTGTGGAAAGTGCCAGCTAACGTTTTCAAAATGACCACTGCAGATAAATATACAAACCTTGATGTAGTGATCCTTGGAGCCCGTGATAACTAGATCCTGTCCATTCCCAGTCTGATCAACAGTCAAGCACATGACCGGACCCAGATGACCCATCAGTTTCCCGGTACACACAAATCTGACAGAAAGAGATGGAAAACAAGTGAAAGAATTAGATATATGATGTAGCAAATAAATGAAATAAAGGATGCTGGGCCAAACTTATACCGTCTCAGGTCCCACACACGAACAGAGTTGCCTGCGGCAGCATAGAGAACAGTTCCAGACGGGTTCAGAAAGATCTGGTTGATCTGGTTCTCGCCGGCCGGGATGGTCACGGTGCGGTTCGTACTGGCTGCACATGTGTCACCAGTGTTCACCAGACCCGACGATCTGAAGGTAGAAATGCACAATCACAGACTGAGAAAATATAAATAATACCAAATGGCCATTTTAAATTTAATTAATACATTTTTAATTACTTCATGTTTTTACGAACATTGTCTCAAGCAGCATCACAAGTAACGTTAGTTAAGTAATCAGATTTTTTTTTCAAGTAGCTAGTAAAGTAACACATTACTTTTTTTACAGTACAATTAAATAGATCTGAGTTACTTTTTCAAATAGTAACGCCACTTACTTTGTTTTCCCATTTATTGACTGACAATGCCTTTGTTGCTGACCCTTGATGATCCAATTCAACCATACTAAGCAAAAATGACTAAACATAACATTTATGTTTGATTTTTTTTCTTATTGCTGAAGAGTGCTGAACTTTCTTTTTCCTGCACCCTCTACTGTACAGATGTGAATTTACATTTCCTTCAGCCTGAGGCTTATTCATTTCACTTTTGGTGTGAAAGGGCTTTTACATTTCCCAAAGACATAACTTTTTATATTAAAAATAAACAAGCAAGCCCAGCACAAATGAGAAAAAGTAACACAAGAGCAATGTAACACATTATTTTACATAAAAATAATTAACACAATATTGTAATGCATTACATTTAAAAATAACTTTCCCCAACAAAGGTCATCTGATGCAAATTTGATAAAGACCCAAACAAAGCTGTTGAATAAGTCAAAATAGAATGTTTTCATTTCACATTTTTAATTAAATTTTTTTTGTGCTTTAAAGAAATACACTTATTTTGTTGTGTTGACTAACATATTAAAGAACATGTAAAGTACTTATAATTGGATAGGGTTAGGATTAGTGTTACTTGCATGTAATTATGCATAATTTATGGTTATTATAATAGTAAGCACATGTAACGTGTAACAAGGACACCTTAAAATAAAGTGTTACCTACATTTTCATTTAATTGCACTTATGTAATTAAGTGTTCAAAAACATGACATGTGGTATTGGTATTCTGATAATCCTAATTTGAAGAATGCTTGTAGTTTCTTTGATATGCACGTTAGGTTGGACAGGTACTCACGTGAGTGTCCGGATGCACTTTGCGGAGTCACGGATGTCCCAGACTTTGATGTAGGAGGTGGAGACCGTGAACACCAAGCTGGAGCTGTAACGCACAGATACCACATTGTTGGGGTGGCCGCCTAGAGACATGATCTCCTGTCCCGTGACCAGGTTCCACACCTTACAAGTCCGGTCTGAAAGCGGAAACAGGGCCAGTTTATAAAAAGTGGTTAGACCAATTATTCTTACTAAGAAGTACTAAAAAATTAAGGAACTGGAAGGGTTAATCTCATAACTTTCTGCTCTTGGTAACTCTGGAACTGCCCTATCCTGGTTCACTTCCTACCACTTCCCACATCTCCAGTACTGCCTCTGTCTCACACGGTGTTCCCCAGGGTTCTGTTCTTGGGCCTTGACTGTTCATCATGGCTTTAACTTCCATTGCTACACACACAACTTTACATCTGTTCTCAGTGCACTGCTCCTTTCCCCACAAACTCTGTATCGGCTTGTATCGATGACATAAATGTGAGGATGAGTAGTCATTTTTTTCTCAAACTCAACACTGATAAAATAGATCTACTTATTGCTGGTCCTTTTCAATTTGCATCCTGTTTCTGTGCTGACAGTGTTAATATTGCTGGAGTGCTGGTTTGACTCCTTCAATTCTCTCTTCTATGGCTTACCTATCACAACAATAAATAAGCTCTAATTCATTCAGAACTCCACCGCTAGGGTTCTCACATACCAATAAACTCTCTCCACATAACTTCTACTCTACGCAGACCACATCGGCTACCCATTCACTTACATATTCAATACAAGATTCTTCTTATCATCACATTCAGGGCCTTCATGATCTTGCCCCCATACATTTCTCACCCACCCTCATGAACTGTTTTCATGCTATGTTATGTTAACTATGCTCAGTGTATTGTCACTGTATTGTCTCTTTGCCTGCTGTTGTGTTTACTAAAGCAACCTGGTTGGATAAGCACAACATAATCATACTAGCATAAACTATATAATGAATGTTGAACGGTGTTCTGACCTTTTGACCCAGTGAATAGGAGGTCATCTGTGGAGTCAACACACAGTACAGCTTTACTGTGACCCTCGGCTATATGAATACACTGCAGTGAGCCACCACGACTGCTCTTCGACACAGGAACAGGGTTGATGACACCTCTGACGCATGTCAAAAAAATCAACAATCAGTAGATTCCTCCATTAAATCTTGTGTATCGAGACATTGTCTTCTATCCAAACATTGCAGCAAACAGTGTCATAAAAATACTTTCCTGATTACCTCTTTACCTGTATATTTATCTATATATTTCATGTAATCAAATGTATTAGACAATGGAAACAGGCAAAACAAAGCGTAGTTTTGAAGACTCTGAGTGGTGGTAATATCTCCAGAAGTGTCCATCCCACCAACATTTCTCCCACAGCAAATCAGAATCTCATGCAGGATGTTTTAACAAAATACCAGACAAACTTTCAATAAACTGTAGCCATCTCTAACATCAGCTAAGCTCAATGTTTATGAACAATTAACAATTAAAAAAACCCACGTTTGTCAGGAGGTTTTCTAAATAAACAAACAATCAAAAAGAGAATACCATGAAGAAGACAAATTCTTTTATGGCACTGTATGATTTTTCAAAAATAGTTTATGAAACAAGTACGACAGGGCAAGCATGCCAATACTGTCCAGAAATGTATCTACATGCAATGAAAAAAACATGTCTGATGCAAAACCAAATAGAAAAACTAAAAGAAATCAGAAAGTTGAATTGGAGTGGAGAGGCCTGTAAAATCCCTTTTGTTTGAGAAAAGAACAGGGAAAGACTGAAGCACAATAAAATTTAAACCTAAACCCAAACAATCTCATTTATAGTCACATTCATGTATTTTCTAGTATATATATATGTTACAAATATATATTAATTGTGTACATGTTATTACATAATTTGGCAATAATTAATTAATTAATAATCACCCTAATTCCTGTCGATATAAAAATTCTATTTAAAAGCAGTTTAAATACACATTCCCAAATTTTAAACCAGAACAGATGATGATGTTAACTTTGCCCACTTTGGTCCTACAGACTATGATTTACTGATACAGTCTTGTCAGATGCATGGAGACATTATGCTGGGTCCCGCCCACAGGGTGGAACTCACTCTAGGCTCCTCCCATAACCACTGAAAACGTCTCAGGTTACTTATGTAACCATGGTTCCCTGAGTAGGGAACGAGACACTGCGTCCTCTAGGGGTCGCTATGGGGACGCCTCGTCGTGACCCGTGTCTGAAGCATACATTGATTTATTTTTTAATTTTTTTCCTTGGAAAACGCTCGCAGTGCACGCTGATTGCCCCCTCGGAGACATCGCGTGTTCCCATGAAAGGGAACACTTTAAATACATGCACATTCACATACTCACAAATACCCACACACAGAGAAATCTGTTATTCAATTAACATATGAAAATAGTCTAATTTAAATGCAAATTAAAAACCAAAACACTTCAGATGCAAATAATCAGAGTAGTCAGCATTTGTAAGGCAAAAACTTCTCGTGGCCTCAGTTTACATTGTGTTATGTAAGTTCTAGAGAAAATATTATAACTGAACTGGTATATCACTCTGCAGGTCAACAGAAGGATTTTAGTTTCCGTCTTGTGGTGAAAAACATTGGCCTGGTCATCCCCTTAGAGACATTTAATTTTGTAAGGACACTTATTTGTTTTAGACTACTGTTCATTGACTACCATGCGACAAGTTCTGCAGGGCAAAATCTATGACTACTGTACTTTCAAAGCAAAGCCAATTTGGCATTTTGTGGCCACTTTTTATGTGGACTGCTAATAACACGACTATTGACAATACTCTGAATTAGAAAATGCCATGTAAATACCATTTTCTGGATTACTGAAAACAATCATTTGTCTAAATTGGAGTTTCGACCCCCTTCTGAGCTGTACACAATATGCGATTAATTCTCATTCTTCTCATTCTTAATAAAGCCAGTAGTGTGATTATTGCAAAGTAAAGTGGCGTTTGTTTGACGTGTTAGGGTAAGAGTCAGAGAACATGCTTCTTCAAAACCTGATTTTTTTTCTTATCTTATATGCCAAACTTTCTACATACAATACTGTTTGCAGTATTCTGTTTCAAAGGAGATCTAAAAAAACAACAACAACACAAACAGGCAGACACCAAAACCTCCAAAAACTGCAGTAGTAACTTTCTGCCACTGGGGAGTGCTAGCTCTTACTGTGTGATCTCTTTGGCTTTGGCCTTGTCAGCCAGGGATTGTCCCCTGTCATAAGTCTTCCTGCGAGACAGAGGGGATGGTTCCAGGACTCTCTTTTGCCCACCTGCTGGAAGTCTGTTGCCAGAGCTGCTACTTTAAGATCCATTTGCAACGTGAAAGACAGAAACATAAAATAAAACACAAGTACTGAAAAAAAAAAAGACACAAACATAAAATGGCCAGCATGCATAATAAAAGACATATCTGCTACTTCTGACAAATAGATATTTTGAAAATATATGCTACTTTTGACAAACAGATATTTTGAATATACTGTATCTGCTACTTCTGACAAACAGATATTTTGAAAATATCCGCTACTTCTGACAAACAGATTTTTTTAATATATCGGCTACTTCTGACAAACAGATATTTTGAAAATATCTGCTACTTCTGACAAACATATTTTTTGAATATATCCGCTACTTCTGGTAAACAGATATTTTGAATATATCGGCTACTTCTGGCAAACAGATATTTTGAATATATCGGCTACTTCTGACAAACAGATATTTTGAATATATCGGCTACTTCTGGCAAACCGATATTTTGAAAATATCGGCTACTTCTGACAAACAGATATTTTGAATATATCGGCTACAAACAGATTTTTTGAATATATCCGCTACTTCTGGCAAACCGATATTTTGAAAATATCCGCTACTTCTGACAAACAGATATTTTGAAAATATCCGCTACTTCTGACAAACAGATTTTTTTGAATATATCGGCTACTTCTGACAAACAGATATTTTGAACGTATCTGCTACTTCTGACAAACAGATATTTTGAAAATATATGCTACTTCTGACAGATATTTTGAAAATATCTGCTACTTCTGACAAACAGATTTTTTGAATATATCCGCTACTTCTGACAAACAGATATTTTGAAAATATCTGCTACTTCTGACAAACAGATTGAATATATCGGCTACTTCTGGCAAACAGATATTTTGAATATATCGGCTACTTCTGGTAAACAGATATTTTGAACATATCTGCTACTTCTGACAAACAGATACTTTGAAAATATATGCTACTTCTGACAAACAGATATTTTGAATATATCGGCTACTTCTGGTAAACAGATATTTTGAACATATCTGCTACTTCTGACATACAGATACTTTGAAAATATATGCTACTTCTGACAAACTGATATTTTGAAAATATCCGCTACTTCTGACAAACAGATATTTTGAAAATATCCGCTACTTCTGACAAACAGATTTTTTTGAATATATCGCTACTTCTGACAAACAGATATTTTGAAAATATCTGCTACTTCTGACAAACAGATATTTTGAAAATATCCCTTACTTCTGGCAAACTGTTAGAGCAAACCTGAAAAATTCTTCACAGCTGGTAAACCTTTCAAGTGAAATGTGATTATTCAGGTTTTTTCAACTTGTAAATGGGAAAAAAGTAAAACGCTTTCATGCAACTTAAAATGTTTGGAATGCTTGTCAGACATTTCTATTCAGATTTCCAACATAGATGTCTGCCTGTCATTTACTTAATACAACTTGTCTCAGCCTGTTGCTGTAGATCATCACAGTTGTGTTATTTTTGACCACACTCCCTTGTAAAAACTGTGTACAGCTCTTCCCGCTAGATAAGTAGTCCCCATGGCTTACTATGCTATTGTCATCTAGCATCCAGTAGTCCAAGTTCCAAGAGAAATAAAAGTTATTATAATAAAATAGTTAGGTCCAAAAGTTTTTACCATCAGTACCAAACAAAGTTTTGTTGTTTAGTGTTGTTAGCCACTCAGAACACGTGGAACCGCAATGCAATTCAAGTGAATAACACCCTATATTAGAGAAGACCTTCGGTGATGTTATCTGTATTAACAGCTACTGTAAACTGAAAGTGACCAGATGAGATCAGCCCTAACAAGGTACAACATTTAGTGAAAGAAAAAACATTGTAAAGTAAACATAAAACAGGAGTAGCTAGTTCATGCATGACGTGAGGTGGAGCAGTTAGTAAGCGCTCAGCATTTAGTCAGCAAGGTTTAAGATTACTATATACTTACATACTGCCCATTCTAGAGGACAAGCCAGCAGCAGGGAGCATGTAGTCCCGATCTCTGACTGTATTTCCAGCTGACTCCAGGTCTCCAGCTCCCTCGAATGTCTCAGCCATTGGGTGTAGAGGAACGGAGAAGTCTCTTGTTGGTGTGTCGGGGCCAGAGTCACAGTTGTTTACATAGAGTAACTCCATCTGAGTAGTGGTCCTTCTTCGGGCCTTTGCAATTATTGCAAAACAAATGGTCGTGGTTAGTTAAGTAAGGAACAGGAATTGGTTGTCATTTAGCAAAGCTTTCATCCAAAGTTACTTATTAGGTTCAGTCCAACTGAGATTAGGGGTCTCAATAAAGGTCACATTGATCCTAGCTCATGGATCACCCTTTGAATGGTTTGCACCTAAAATCGCTTGATAACCAAGCTTTGGGTAAGGTAAAATTAAGGTAATTTCTCCCATACCTTAGTCCTAGATTTAGTCTCGCCACATAACTTCATGAGGTCTGAGGCCAGGGTGCTGAATTATGGGAAAAGATATTGACTTAGGTTTGCTCATTCAATGAAGCACAGTAATGAAAACAAACATATTTGTCATTAGCAGATTAACTTACTTTCCTTCCACTGCAGGACTTAGGGTCGACTCGTCGCTACTACTGTCATCACCATTTTCTAATGTAGAAAAAGAAATAAGAGAGTGTACATTAAAAGAACCACAAATGGGGCATTTAATTTACATCAGAAGAATTCCTTGGAAGGACTTGCAAAATTGTTGAATTAAGGCAAAATCACGCCAACGCTGTTATCTGTGATGTTGAAAAGAGGCTTTTGAGAATGTGGTAGTAAAAAAAAAAAAAAAAAAGCAAATGAGGATAAATTAAGCATAGCGCTACCATGCTAGTTTCCTTAGTTGCCGTGAAACGCTGATCCAAACCGGTTTCTGATATCAGCTGTGACCAGAAAGAGGCTATCATCAAAGTTAGAGCAAAAAATGTTGTGGAGAAGAGGAATGAGGGAGCACAAATGGTAAACCATTCAAAAAGGAGGGAAAACATTAGTCGTACATGGTCTGGTAGAGACGCTTGTTTTCCTGCTGCCAAACTTTGATGTATGTTAATGCTAATAAGTAGCTGGTTGCTAGCTGGGGATTGATGTTTTAATATGGTAAGAACCGGTAGAGGAGGTGAGGACAGATGAACAGAAGTCTCATGCACCTGCGGACGTGACCGCTAGTCTGTGGTTAGTCCGAAGAGGTAGACCCATGCACTCATTACAGAGAGAGTGTGGCTACTGCCACCTGTAAAGTCACAAGCCAGGAGTGCTAAAGCAGGTTGGAAATAAACTTTGCAGGATGGTTGGTCCCCAGGAGCAGGGTTGAAGACCTATGGTTTAGACGATCTCTTCCAGTCTAAACAGGTGGTTCTTGGGCAACATAAGCTGCAATGTGGACCAGACTTAATGCTGATGGTGAGACCACAAACTAAACACACCATAGAGTTCTGCGTTGTAGTCTAGACCAGCTCATTTGAGTCCAAGTACAGACTCAGACCTGAGTAGGTTGAGTGCGAGTCAAGACAGAGACAATTGGAGGGTCGAGTCCGAGTCAAGACTGATTCCAAATGCTCCCAAGAATAGTGAGACATTGGCTTACACAACTCCATGACTAGTCAACACAGACCCAACACCCAACACCCAATCAACTAGTGGCAGAACTAATCAACTAGTTGGTGCAACTCCTAGATCAGGAGTAGCCAATACCGCTCCTTGGAGGGCTTAACTTCCTGCAGACGTCAGTTCCAAACCTGCTCCAACGCACATGCTTGTTATTTTCAAGTAATCCTGAAGACTTTGATTAACTATACTGAACAAAATTATAAACGCAACACTTTTGTTTTTGCCCCCATTTTTCATGAGCTGAACTCAAAGATCTAAGACTTTTTCTATGTACACAAAAGGCCTATTTCTCTCAAATATTGTTCACAAATCTGTCTAAATCTGTGTTAGTGAGCACTTCTCCTTTGCCAAGATAATCCATCCACCTCACAGGTGTGGCACATCAAGATGCTGATTAGACAGCATGATAATTGCACAGGTGTGCCTTAGGCTGGCCACAAGAAAAGGCCACTCTAAAATGTGCAGTTTTACTGTATTGGGGGGTCCGTACTGCGTCTTGCTTAAGACGCATATGGGAAAAAGC